GGGTCGGCTTTAAGCCGATTCACCCGATTCCCTGGAATCGGGCCCCGCACCAAAGAGGGCCCCCCTCCGGGGGTCTTTGGCGGGGGGGGGGGCTCTGCTCCGGGGGTCTTCGGTGGCATTTCAGAGGTGGGGGGTCCTTCGGTGCCGCGGAAGACCTGGAGCGGACCCCCCTCCGCGAAGTGCCGCTGAAGCTTTGGACTGCCGCCGGGTATTAGAATCGGGCCCCGCGGGTCATAAAGCCGGCCCTGATCAAATCCTCCCTCACTCTTCTCTTCTGCAGACTAAATAACCCCAGTTCCCTCAGCCTCTGCTCGTAAGTCATGTGCTCCAGCCCCTTAATCATTTTCGTTGCCCCCCGCTGGACTCTCTCCAATTTGTCCACATCCTTTCTGTAGTGGGAGGCCCAAAACTGGACGCAATACTCCAGACGTGGCCTCACCAGTGTCGAATAGAGGGGAATAATCACTTCCCTCGATCTGCTGGCAATGCTCCTACTAATGCAGCCCAATATACCATTAGCCTTCTTGCCAACAAGGGCACACTGTTGACTCATATCCAGCTTCCCGTCCACTGTAATTCCCAGGTCCTTTTCTGCAGAACTGCCACTTAGCCAGTCAGTCCCCAGCCTGTAGCAGTGCATGGGATTCTTCCATCCTAAGTGCAGGACTCTGCACTTGTTCTTGTTGAACCTCATTAGATTTCTTTTAGCCCAATCCTCCAAATTGTCTAGGTCACTCTGGACCCTATCCCTACCCTCCAGCATATCTACCTCTCCACCCAGCTTAGTGTCATCCACGAACTTGCTGAGGGTGCAATCCATCCCATTATCCAGATCATTAATGAAGTTGTTGAACAAAACCGGCCCCAGGACTGACCCCTGGGGCACTCCACTTGATACTGGATGCCAACTAGACATGGAGCCATTGATCACTAGCCATTGAGCCCAACAATCTAGCCAGCTTTCTATCCACCTTATAGTCCATTCATCCAATCCATACTTTTTTAACTTGCTGGCAAGAATACGGTGGGACACCGTATCACAAGCTTTGCTGAAGTCAAGGTATATCATGTCCACTGCTTTCCCCATATCCACAGCGCCATTTATTTAATCACAGAAGGCAATCAAGTTGGTCAGGCATGACTTGCCCTTGGTGAATCCATGTCGACTGTTCCTGATCACCTTCCTCTCCTCCAAGTGCTTCAAAATGGATTCCTTGAGGACCTGCCCCATGATTTTTGCAGGGACTGAGGTGAGACTGAGCAGTCTGTAGTTTCCCAGATTGTCCTTTTTTAAAAGATGGGCACTATATTTGCCTTTTTCCAATTGTCCAGGACCTCCCCCGATTGCCATTGTCTTCAGTTAGCTCTGGATTGCCCCCAACGTGCATACGTACATCTGTTAACCACTGCTGTAATTTCCCCACTTGTAGTTTTACAAATATTTATGATAAATGTATTTAAAAGATTAAAAAATACTGTGGTGAAGGAGTTGAATTTCATAGTAGCCACGGGGTGTGCTAAAGATACATGCAGAAACCTACAGGCCGGTGTGGGACATGGTCCTATATGTTTACTTTAGACAAGCAATGTCTCCCTATCTCAGGAGGGAAGTGTAAGCGGGTTTCTAAAGTCAGTATAAAGCCTATGATGTGTCTGTGGTAGTAGCTTTAGGGTTCACATCCTCTTCAGGCTGCAGCCACTAGGGGGCTGTCAAGCGCATAGGAACTGGTCCAACATTCTGTCTAGCAGAAAGCGATGGTGATCTATGGGTGGTCAGGAAATGCAGTTTTTTCCCCATGAAAATTTTCAGTGAAAATGTTTTATTTTTCATAGAAAATTTTCTTCAACATTTGTTGTTGAAAAAATGAAAACTGAATGTACTTTTTATTTTATTTTTAAATTTTTATATATTTTTTTTACTTGTTTGGCATTGAGAGAGCAAACATGGAAGTGTTTGGGTTTAAAACTGAAAACCTTCTGGTTTTGGTGGCCAAAAACTGGGGGGGGGGGGAATTGGTTTGGGGATTTTGGATTTTTTTTTGATGAAACCCTGAACATTTTCAGCAAAACAGGAATTTTTTTTCTTCACAAAAATTTCTGTTTTGTCAAAAAGCCATTTTCTGTCAAATGTAAAGTTTCCAATGAGCTTGAACAGTGACACATTGCAGGAAGGAAGAGAAAATAATGTTTTATTAATGAATACTATTATCATTATAAAGTTTGTGTATGAAAGGAAGATGACATTAATTATTTGGTCCAGGTGGGCTTCTAAGGCCTTCCCAGAGTCTCAAGGATAGCTTTATTATTTCCTCATTCAATAATAATCATAGTAAATACATTAATACAATTGCTGCAATTGTGAATCTACATTTATCCAATGATTTCCTAGCACTTTACCAACATTTAATTGCTTTTGGGAGGCCGGTGTTTTGATCTCCAACTGGGGAAACAGATACTAATGATTCATTTGTATTTTTAAGCATTATTTGTAGTATATCGATGCTAGATGCTGTGCAAACACGTGAGAGTGATGAGTTTACAGTCTTAATAGCTAAGGCAGACAAAGGGTGGAAGGGGAAACTGAGGCACAGAGCGTCAAAGTGACTTGTTCAAGGTCACGCAGCAGGCCAGTGGCAGAGCTGGGAATAGAATCCAGGAGTCCTGATTCCTTGCTCAGAAAGTTTTGCTGATTTTGGAACTGATGTCAACCTTGAAATATGAGTCAGAGGAGAGAAGGGGGAAAAAAGCAGCTGTAGAAATGGTGAATCATTCTCTCAAGAGACTAAAGCAGGTTTTTAGGCCTGGTCCTACTGATTTCCAGTGTGTGTGTGTGTGAATCCTGAGAGCATTTGTCATTGGGTGATTTGGTGGGTGGGTTGGTGGCAGGCAGGGAAGCCAAACTGCTGCAGGATTATAGAGGATATTTCTGTCCCACTGACGGCCTAACGTTTCCTTTTGGAGTTATTGAGATGAACAGCAGTCCACCATGCCAGTCATTGAACTGCTTTGTGTGGGAAGCTGAAGGTAAAAAAAATCAAGGACATAAAAAGATTGGCAATTATCACTAATTAGAGGCCTCAAAGATAGCTCCATGGGTATTAGAATCCCCAACAGGGAAGCGTTATTTGGCATGATAGGACTGAGTAGATATAGTAGCATACTGAATTGGGACCGACAGCGATCAAGTGCTTCAAATCATTTCAGGAGGTCTTCCCAAGAATCCAATAGCTGGCAAGCTTGTTCTCTATACTGCGTGCTAATCATGCTCCCAGTGGAGTTTTGCTCTTGCCAGCCATTCAATAGCTCTGTAGCCCTCCCTGTATTTGCTAGCCAAATCCATGAAGGAAGAAGCTCCTTTCACTCGTTCTCACTTAGGAAAAAGAGATTCCACCCCCGCAGCAGAAAAACAACCAGCCGGGAATCCATGTCAGGGCTAGTAAAGAAATGTGAGGAGGCTCCCAAGGGGACATGTGCTGTGTGGAATCCATTGGGAAGGTCAAATGGGTTAATATCTGTAACATTGCTCTTCAGTCCTGCAGCGGTGTATGTGTGAACACTACATTCATGATTAGCGCTGCTGCTAATTGCTTTTAACTTTCTCAAGACAAGGCAATGTCAGAATTGTCCTGACCTTTAGTTCCAAGCAGTCCTTCAATTATTTTCCCTTTGCTGATCTGTCCTTGAACAGCTGGGAGCTATTGCGCAGCAAGCATTTAAGGCAGCACTAAGTAGGCAGGCAACAAATGAGAAATCTTTCCGAGAGCTTTCAGCCAAACTTGTTTTGAGGAGCCGGACACCCATTTGGATTCAAACTTGCAGTCACCTTTGGAAATGCTCAAGCCATTATGCTGCATTTTCTACAGGAGGTACAAGTGGCTGCCACTCCCTAGCTGTCCTCAGTGAGAAAGTAGCCAGAGTTAAATGGTTGTCTTAAATAGCAATTGAGGAATAAAGAGGATATCACCAATAATACACTAGGCTTGTCTGTCTGTCCTCCTAAACACTGCCCCCTGCTGGGTGGAATGTCCTTCTCAAGCCCATGCTAGTCCATGAACACGGTGTTCTCTGCTGCCTACAGAGGACAAGACATGTGGAAGGGGAGGGAGAGGGACATAAAATGGATAAAGAGAAATGCAGAGCAAGGTGGGAATGAAGAGGACAAAAAGAGATGAAGGGGAAATGTTGATGAAAGGCTAGAAGGAGAACAAGTTGAGAGATGAAGGGGAGACAGAGAGATGCAAAGGTGGGTGTGAAGAGGAGAAGAGAGTGCATGGAGAAGTATCCTTGATGTCACATTCCCACCAATCCATAAATATATCATGGGTATCTGATGGTCCTTGGTAAAAAAACGGTCCATAAATTATAACCCATTAGTGCTGCTTTGTTTTGCTAGTGCATAGATTCTAAGGCCAGAAGGGCCATTACGATCATCTAGACTGACCTCCTACACAACACAGCCCTTGAATTTCACATAGGGATTCCTGTGGTAGAGGGTATCAGAGGGGTAGCCGTGTTAATCTGGATCTGTAAAAAGCAACAGAGAGTGTTGTGGCACCTTTAAGACTAACAGATGTATTGGAGCATAAGCTTTCGTGGGTGAATGCCCACTTCGTCGGATGCATGCATCTGACGAAGTGGGCATTCACCCACGACGAAGTGGGCATTCACCCACGAAAGCTTATGCTCCAATACATCTGTTAGTCTTAAAGGTGCCACAACACTCTCTGTTGCTGTGGTAGAGGGAATCACTTGTCCTTTTTACATAAATGATTAATACTACTGAGCCCAAATTGAATTGTCCATAAAAGACCTGTAATGTCCCTAAAACTTGCTGACTGATAATGCAAAATCAGTGGTGGAAACGCAGTGGACTGATAGCTATTGCTCATCTTGTTGCTTTATGTGATAAGTATATTGGCATCACTGTATAAAGACAAAGCAGACATTGTGTGCACACACATGTATATATCAGCTTTCTCTTGATCCTTCTGTTTTCCTAGGAAACCAAGATGGATTACAGTTCCTTCAGTGGAGCCCCAAGGTTCCTGACTCGGCCTAAGGCCTTCATGGTGTCGGTGGGGAAGGATGTCACCCTGAGCTGCCAGATTGTGGGAAACCCCATCCCACTGGTGATCTGGGAAAAGGATAAGCTTCCGATCCAGTCGGGGGGAAGGTTTAAAATGGTGGAAGATGGTGATCTGTACCGGCTAACAATTTATGACCTGAGCTTAGAGGACAGTGGTCAGTATATCTGCAGGGCCAAGAACACCATTGGGGAAGCTTTCACTGCTGTCAGTATCAAAGTTGGGGAGGAGACGACGGTGACGGAATCGGCCCCTTACTTCATCCAGAAACCCTCCTCCATCAGAGTGACCCTGGGAGACGATGTTACGTTCAAATGTAAAGTCCAGGGCAGCCCACCTCTCTCTGTGAACTGGGAGAAAGATGGAAGGCACGTGAGGGGCTGGTCTGACTCCAACCGCTTCCAGATTGAGTCCCTCGGGGAGTCAAATGCTCTCAAGATCCAGTGCGCTCGGTTGGGGGACAGTGGGACATACATGTGTCGGGCGGAGAACCCCATTGGCTCTGCCAGTGCTACCGCCACCCTGGTGGTGGACACACACAGTCCGAGCAGCAGCCATCTAGACACAGGCTATGGCAAGACTGCCTCCTTGCTGTCTCATTTGCAAAAGAGGCGCGAGGAAATCAGGAAGATGGACACATCCATGCTCGCAGCCGCCGATTCCATAGCTGCCCCAATGTACTCCGCTACAGAGGGGCTGTCTGGTATTGGTCTCAGCCTCTCTCTGGATTATGAGAGGGCTGCCAGCCTCACCGCCAAATCAGCCCGCAACGCCACCTTCGGGGTACTGACGCGTACCTTCAACGTGACGGAGGGGAAGCACGCCAAGCTGAGCTGCTATGTGACAGGAGAGCCGAAGCCGGAGATCGTGTGGAAGAAGGATGGCGAGGTGATTGCAGAGGGGCGCCGGCACATTGTGTACGAGGACGAACAGGAGAACTTCGTGCTGAAGATCCTTTTCTGCAAGCAGGTCGATAACGGGCTCTACACCTGCACAGCCTCCAACCTGGTGGGACAGACCTACAGCTCCGTGCTGGTGACTGTCCGAGGTGAGGGGTTATGTTTACTTATCCATTGGGCCCTGTTCCTACTCCCTTTGTCATCAGTGGGGATGTGAACAAGGGGGGATGTGGTTCAGTGACAGGAGAACTAGTAATGTCTCTAGTTTTTACTCCCTTTGGCTTATCCAAGTCTCACACACAACTGTTTCCAAATGGCTATAGAGGGAATTCCTTCCATCCAAGTCCTCTCCTCAGTCTATCATGGACTCCCTAAAGCTCTGGCTCCCTCCTAGGTCTCTCTTCTCAATGGAGCCATCTCTCACCATTACCTTCTATTCCTGCCCCTTTTCCCAGCATGCTTTGCTGTAGGGCCTACAATTCCCATGTGCCCCTGGAACTACCATCCCCAGAATGCCTGTGTTCTGGGCAGAAGCCAGGAACAGGGCAGAGCTGGACCAGGGAACTCCCTTAAAAGCAGGGGCGGCTCTATGTATTTTGCTGCCCCAAGCACGGCAGTCAGGCGGCTTTCGGCGGGGTGCCTGCGGGAGGTCTGCTGGTAACGCGGATTCGGCGGCATGCCTGCGGGAGGTCCGCCAGTCCCGCGCCTTCGGCGTCCCCGCTGCCGAATTGCCGCCGAAACCGCGGGACTGGCGGACCTCCCGCAGGCATGCCGCAGAAGGCAGCCTGACACCTGCCCCCCCGGCCGCCCACCCCGGCCGGGCCCAACATTTCCGCCCCCCCAAAAAAAAAAAAAAAAAAAAAAAAGCCGCGATCAGCGGCAGGTCCTTCGCTCCTAGAGGGAGTGAGAGACCTGTCGCCTCCGAATTGCCGCAGGTGCCGCCCCTCTCCCTTGGCCACCCCAAGCACCTGCTTGTTAAGCTGGTGCCTGGAGCCGGCCCTGCGCCCCAGGCACGCGCTTGCTGCGCTGGTGCCTGGAGCTGCCCCTGCTTAAAAGGCCAGCAAACCCTGCTTGATCGTCTTTCCATTGACTTCAGTGGAAATGGACTGAGATTCTGGTAGAAGAGTGTGACAGATACTAAATGGACTCCTCCATAAAGGAAGTTTTCTTACTCAGTTTTGAATTTTTAAACAGTTCTCTCATTTTGCAAAATTTCAGAGTAACCCATTTGCACTCTAAAATGTCCCTGTGAAAAATGAATTTACATATGAGAATTTTACTTTGTATTTTTTAATGCAAAAATAATAATTTCATGGAAAATGATTTCTAGCTGGAAAAATGACCTGGAACAATAGAACAGAGTTCTGCATTAAATTACGTGACAGTTTTTCAGCACATTCTCTATTATCTTTAATACTGTACAGGATTCTAATACAAGTGCATTTTGCAAATCAGCGTTTGAAAAGATACTGTATGCAGCTTTGCCAACCCTAAGCATTCAAAAATCATGAGTAAGGCTCCAAAAATAATATTTAAAAAAAAAATTAATGTTGGGTTCTTTTTATTTGCCCGCTGTGGCTTGGGGTGTGTTTTTTTTTCTTTTTGTAAGTCTTTATGGTTCATGTTTTCAAGTTTTTCTTTGCAGGCACGAAGACTAGAAACTTACTTTAAAAAAAAAATGTAAGCGGAGAGTCTAATATAATCACATGACTGCAGGAGCTGGGGCTTTCAGGAAAACAGCAAATAGAGCAAGGCACACACAAGAATTAGCAACAAAATACATTTGCTTGAATTAAGACTGAATAAGGTTTTTGTGTTCTCTACCCAGTGTCCTTTAATAGCCTGAATTTACTTTTTTCAGCCTCCAGTTTTTCCCAGCTTTTAGCCCCATCCCTTCCCCACCTCCCCCACAGCTTATTGCCTGGTGTCACAGCCACTGTCTTTCCTGTCAGGCAAAATCCAGGGGACTCCTCTCCAGAGTCCATTGCTGCTGCTCCATATGGGGCCTACGCCTGCTCCCATGGAGCTCCATGGCAAACCTCCCATTCACTGTGATGGGAGGAGGCCCCGGGAGCTCAGTCCTATGAGGAGCTAAGCAATGCCCGGAAGGCACAGAACGTCCTCGGCTCCTGTTGATTTCAGTGCGGGCACTTGGCCTCTCCCAGGAGGTGGCCAGCACCTCACAGGATGGGACTCAGGGCCTGGCCATTGTGCAGGAGCTCAATTTGGGGGTGCAAGGAAGTCCCTGCCTTGGGTATCCATCCCACAAGGCCAGGCATAATGCCAACACCCCTGAATGCAGGGATGGCTCTCACTGGAACATCAAGCTACAGGCCAAATTCCAGCCCCCACAATAGCAGCCTGCCGTTCACATGCCCAGCGCGCCGCTCGCCCTGTCTTCCACAGAGGGCTCGCTGGGAAATGCCTCCTCCTGCAAGGGCTTGGCTGGAAGCCAGTCTGCTCGCCCGTTTCCGACACTGGAACATGCAGTCATGGAAGCTTGCTTCAATCCAGTAGCTGTCCGATGGCCAGCCTCTGTCGCGTTCCGCGTCGACAGGTGTCCTCACAAATGATAGGGCCGCATCACTGGGTCCCTTGCAGGCAGATTCAGCAGAGGGGCCAAGGCCTAAATGGGCCTAGAGGCCCATTTTGCTTTTTCACCCCTAGAACTAGTCTCTCCCAGTCAGAGGGGTGGCGTTGGGGGAGCTTGCCCTGCTCCTGCCCATGCTGTACCCGTTATGTGGGCTAAACAGGTGACTGCTGTCTCCAGGGATGTCAAACTGAGCACTCTTACCAGCACTCAATTCACTGAAAAATGAATGCAAACGTTCCATTGGGTGAGTTGCCCGTGTGGAGGAAAGCAAGAGACAGGCCTCAAAATATCAAACTCTTTATAAACCTGGAAGGAAATATGCCCTTCTGATTTTATTGCAAATTCTCCTAAACCAGCAGCCCCAGGTCACACAGACCGAGATCCTCAGACACTTTTCCCTTAGCAAATGGATAGTTATTTTTATGCAATTTTGCAAATTTTATCCCTCCCTTTTTTCTTTTTCTTTTGTGAAATGTTGATGAAATCTTCCGCTTGCACTTTTTTTTTTACACTAAAATATACCAGAAATGCACAACCCTAGCATTTTTGCAGCAAGCCAAAAATAGGCTAATTTTCGCTTTAAAAACAAACAAACAAAAAAAAAGGAAGAAAAGAAACCGGTTAGGCAGTTCCGCCCATTTTTCTGTCCATGTCTTCTGATGTGGGGGCAGGAGGGCGGGGAGGAGAACGGGGAACCAACCCATCTAAGTAGTTTTGCACTTTTGCTGTCTGTATATTTAAACTGTTTAGTGTTTAGGACTTTACTTGATCCCTTAAGGCCTCATTCCTGCGATATGAGCCAAACAGGTTCTGCCCGAGCGGATCATATTGAAGGATCTTGGCCTTATTATTTGGAGTCGGTTGGAAAATTTTAAAAAATTCAAAATTTTGACCAACAGCCCCCTCCCCCAAGAACAATTCTTATATATATACAGTGGGTTTCTCCCCATTATTCAACCATCGCTGCCCTCTATATTATGTTAAAATGTTGCACATTTATCTGTCATATAAATGGCCACGTATTTGGAATCTGTTGGGCATTTAAATAGAAGATAAGGGATGGAGCATCGCAAGCTGGAAATGTTGCATGTTGTTTCATACAGCTGCCCTGCCACACAAACCTGCTAATAGACTTGACACCCACTGGTGCCCCTCTTCGAGGACTTTAGCAGCTATGTGGATTACTGTTGACCATTCGTATCTGAGGAGGAGGAAATTTTGGGTACAGAGCTAGGGGTAACAAACACTGCCCTCTAGGGGCTGATCCAAAGCCCATTGAATTCAGTGGGAAGACACCCAATGACATTAATGGGTTTTGGATCAGGCCCTGTATCCATTGCCCATATACCTCATCCTACATTATTTTGGATTGAAGGAAAGAATGTGATCCAGTAGATTTTTTTTTAAAAAAGAAAACATTTGTAGGTTGTGTTATGATTTATTATTAGACATAATAAAGGAAATAAAATCTACAGGATGTAAAAGGGTTAGACTAGATGACCGTATGGTTTTATGATTCCATGATGCATTCTCTGGTGGATGGGGAAAGACTTAGATGTGCTGGAAAACATCTAGAAATAGCATTATTGAAAAGGGTTTTAGAATGGTGTCAGTCTTATCCGTTCCTTCTGGAAGCTCTAGCATTAGTCCCTGTGACATGGAGAGTATGCAACTGCCAAATCCCTGATCATAGCCCCAGCGGAAAATATTAGTTATCAGTGTTCATTGTCAAGCAACGCAAATGAGTCAGAGAGCTAAAGTGGAAATGTTTATGGTTTGTTTCTTTCTTCCAGTTACTCTGTTCAGGCTTTCTGATCTATGATGGAATGAATGGAAAATGTGTGTGTGAGGGTTATAATTAAGTTTTGGATAGTGACTCCTTGTGCCACCATGAGTCCCTCCAAAAAACACATCCCCAAAAGATGAAACAAAGAAGCGAACCTTTAGTCTATTATTTATATAATCGTCTGTGTGCCATAGCCTGGCATTTGGGCAGCACATCTCCATTGAACAAGCAGGCCTTGTTTTGATAAGGCAGAAGCAGCAATAATGTTCTCCAAGTGTCCACCTTTCAGCCAACATGACCCTACAACATGTCTACGTACACTGATACGGGCATATTTACGGGGCCCGTCAATGTTATGTCTCAGGCATGTGTACTATTGATTATTCATGTCTAGAAAGATGTCTCCATCGAGTATTTTCCTAGGTGGCAGATTTTTTTCCCAACCTCATATTTTACAAGTATTATTTTTTCTTTCTTTGGGGGATTTATTGTTGAATTCAATGATGTCTATAAAGGATATCTTTGCTTTGGCTATTAAAAGGCAAGTAAATGCTAAACAATTTAAAAGAGCAGAGAAGTAAATATTTAAAAAGTAATTTATATTGCCCCCTAATAACTACTTTGAAAAACCTTCCAGTGCAGTCAGAGTCAGTGGGGGTGGATCATGTGTTTGTAAGCAGCCCAGAATCTATAAGAACACAGCAGTCATTTTTCTAAGAATTTTGTACTAAAGCTGATGAAAAATCAGAATTTTCATTCCACAGGAAATT